TTGGCCCTAGATTTATACAGCAGCACCTAGGCAGCGCTCTCACCTGTGTCCGCGTTCTCGTCTGGCTTCAGCCCTGCTTGGGACTGTGCGCTGACAGTAGCACCCCAATAGAGCTGCCTGTCTCTAATCTGCTTACTGGGTAGTAAAGGTCTTCTGCAAGAATATATGAGATACTAGAACTTCTTTCCTTGAAGAGAAAAGGTGAGGCTGTAGGCTGCTCAGGAAGTGGTTTGTGCACCCAAAAAATGGGTTTCTTCAGGATTTAACACTTGTTAAAGATACAGTCTCTCCATGTTTTCCAGCTTTGTGAAGTTGTGATATTTGCATCTGGCTTTTCAGCCTATTAGCTGTTTAGCTGCTCATCCCATCATTGTGCCATGCTTCACTCTCTAATCAAATATTATGATAGTGAACCTATATTCTGTTGTAGGATTGTGAAGAAAAGACTACTTCTTGCAAGTGTTGAAGTGTTCACTGGTTTATTTTTAGGCAGGGAGTAAGGGAGAGTCTTCTGTATGGTTAATAGTGAAATGTAACACTACTGGGTTCTGGTCATGATGACAGCCCCTGCTAAGTCAGTGAGGAGCATCTGTGATTGGTATGAACAGCTGTCGGGGAAATAAATCTAAATCTGTTAATCACACACACACATGTGCATGCATACTGCAATTAATACAAAGGAATTAAGTGTAGAAAATATGTTTTAATTTCATCTAGCCAATCCTGTGCCAGGATAGTCTTGTACACTTGATTGCTTGGGCAGCCTCTACATACATACGTTTTCATTTTCACATGAAACTTGTTTTACAAGGATGCCTTGTATTTTTTTTCTTTTAATATTTATTCAGCTAACTGAAGAGGCAATGCCCAGAGCCCTGTTCATCCTGTATATGATCCACCCACACATAACAGCCTTATAGTTAGTTCTGCTTTGTTTTTTCCGGGTTAGTTTTCCAGGCAGTTTTGTCTCTCATGCTCCATCCAACCTAGGTATCTACATCTATGAGGGAGCATGGCCCTGGGTGAAAAAGCTTGTCTAGACAGTGCAGGCAGGACACGACACCAGAAGACAAACCTGTGATGTCAGCCTAGGTAGAAGACGTTTAAATCTGGTTGACTACTCCTTAAAACTGGTGAAGTCTCCTGCCAGGGAGGAGAATGTTTATTACAGACAGGTGAAGAAGAAAAAGTACCAACTACAGCATGTTTCTTCCCTCCCCTATTTGGAGGGGTTATTAGAGTTTAAAGAGTCAGAGTTTAAAGTTATCATATTTAGGGAAGCTGCTTTATCTGGGCCTCTAGCTCTTTTGGGAGGATATGTTGGAGGGAGACTGACATCTTCCACCAGGTTGGAGCCTGCTGCCTGGGCTCCCGGCTGCCATGGTGGGCCTGGCCGGTGGGACTGGCTCGGCCCCCCAGTGCATTGTGCTGAGGGCGGCTGCCCCCAGGGTCTGCCCAGAGGCCACTTGATGAGGTGGGGGGAAGAGGAAGGATCAACATCACTCCCTGGGGCAAGCCGAAACCCCGAAAGAAATGGTGTGAAGCAGATTTGGGTTGGGGGCCTATCTCTTGTGGTTGTGGCTTAGCAGGGGAGCACATGCAAGCAGTCAGCACCAGGCACTGCCGGGCATGGCGTGGTTGGTTTGCATTTAAAATGTAACCTGGTCTGTTGGGGTTGTCAAGTTTTGAATACTTGGCTGTTTCCAGTCTGCTAGTCTGAAATTTCATGCCAGTAGCTGCTAGTCCGATGGACTCTCAGCACTGTGTGCAAATATGCACTTAAAAAAAGTTTATGGGCATTTTTCTATATTCTTTCAGATGTGAAAAAGTCTGATAGGTTGAGAGACATTTCTTTTCTCTGTACCCAAAATCCTGAGAACAAATAGCTGCATTTCAAAGAAATTTTCCAAGTACTTGGCACTGAGGTGATTTTTTTTTTTTTTTTTTTTTTAAGTAGGCCAGATTCTTGGCTTGTGTGAACCAGTGATAACAGATGGTGCAGCTTTGTATAGGTGAGGTACGGCCTGAGCGCAGAGGGAGGGGAGAGAGGGGCTTCCTTGTTGTGACTGTGGCTCTGGCTTTCCAACTTCTGGCATATGTTTTGCTCTCTCCTCAGTGTGCCTGTCTGTAGAGCAGAGATAATGTTTTTCAGTCCCTGGGGGAATATCACATATGCAAAGGATTTTGAGGATGAAAAGCACTCTATACTAGCTATTACTGTTAGCTGTGCATAAAACGAAAGCATGTAGTGTTATCTAGCTCTTTTGTGCTGTGTATCTTGGAGCAATTCATGCATATCTGATAATCAACAACTTGGAAATAGCAGCGTGTTGCCAATGTAGAGAAAGTGGAGCTGTGAGAGGGTGCCTTGCTCCTGCTTCTTTCTGACAGGCAGGAAAAGGTATTGCTAATTCTTGGGACAGCAGACTTTTATTCTGTTTTTTCTTCAAGCTTCAGCTGCTGGAAGCATGTGGAAGACTTAAGCAATAGGGGCCAGAGGAAAAAATGTCTTTTTTTTTTAGTGACGCTAATTGCTGAGTTGAATACTTGTGCTGTAAATGTAATTAGTAGCACTGTCTCAGCATACTGTAGGAATCTCATTTGGCTGCTCAGATGCCAGATTTTTTTAATTTAGATGAAGAAAGGTTTCCAGTTAAACTTACTGCATTTTGTTATGTTTAGTAATGCATATATTGGGAAGGTAAACGTAACTCATTATTGTCTTGAGGTGATTTTCCTGAACAAAGGATTAAAAATCTGAAATAGCATACTGACCTACAGTGTCAAAATGAAGTCCAGTAGAGTTTAGCACGGTTTGACTTTAAAGTAAATGGAAGCTAAATGGAAAGCATGCTTCATGCAAAACTTGCAAAGCCACAGATCAGAAAATGCAGTAACAGAGGCTTTTTACACTACTGCCCAAACCTCTCTTAGACCTGTCTTGTGTTATAGTAAGATAATGCAATTGTGGCTTTGTTACCCTTTCAGGTCTGCTTATAAATGAGGTAAGGTTTGTACAGGGAGGCTGTATTCTCATTTACCAGCTGAGGTACTCAGAGAAAAAAGTCAAGCTTTCAAGTAGTTTGTGTGTTCTCTGGTTATTTAATAATATTAAATTTTAAAATAATATTAGGTGATCTGGTAAAATATATTACCTCTGGCTAACAAAATAATAAAGCCTCTGAGGTAGCACAAATCAAAGGCAGAAGTCAGTGGTCCTCAAAAAGGAGGTTGTATCTATAGTTCTGTGGGTACAGATCAAAGAAACTCCTGAACGGACTGGCGGGGAGGAGAAGACATCTGTAACCGCATAGTGTTTGTCTATTATATGTATAAGACCTAGTTAATAAGGTTAATACAATGCTATTTTTCTGACTTGGAGTAGAAGCTCAGAAGAAACATCTCAGTGGTGAGACTGTAAACCTAAGAAACCAACAAAAAGAGAGGCTGCTTATGCGGGATTCTCTTCTGGTGGCCCCCCAGGTGAAGGTAGTCGCTTTGCCCTCACTGGGGCCCCTGGGGCTGATAGGGAGGTATAGCGGAGGTGTCCCTGTGCCCTCCGTAGCACAGCACACCTCACCTTCAAAATGAGAGAGAGAGCATCAAAAGCTACCAGGAAACCATGAGCGCTTCTTCACTGACGTGAGCTTTCCTTTGGCTGTTCTTCAGCTGAGGCGGCTCTTCGGAAGCAAGGTGCCTGCTTTTCCTCCAAAGTTTTACCTGGCAATGACCGAGTCGATGGCTGACGAGAGACGGTCTCAGTTGGAGCAGTACCTTCAGAATGGTAAGCAGGCTCTTTGCTTTAGCAGCCTCATCAGCTTTCACACATGGCTCTTAAACCTTTGAGGATATGTCCACAATTGTTACTTTTGTAACAATTGTTGCTTGACCTTTTACCCTCTGTTTGAACAGGGGGAGTGGGGGGAGGCACCTAATAGAGCTGGGGCTAAGTGTTCCAGCCCTGTCCTGTCTGTTGATTTACTGGCTCCAGAATGGCAGCGTATCATCTTTTTCTTATTATTCCTGAACTGGCTGCCCTTCTGCAGCTTACCCAGACTGTGGAGGTGTGGTTTCATATTAAACTCAAGCCAACTTGTCCTTCTGGTGGCAGCCCATAGTCTGGTCACTCTCTGCTCTTCTTGGATCAGTCAAGAGCTACCTTGCCCTGCTGCATCCCTGTGTCAGTTCTGGCAATTGTTGGGTGCGAAAACTCTCAGCTGCGGTGGGAAAAGTGGGAAGCAAAAGAGAAGCTGGTGCTTGGATTCCTAGAAGCATAATATGGAGCTGGGCTGTGAGGAAACCCCTTCCCTTCAAGGGTTTCCAGGCAGGCTTGTGAGAACTGTAACAAGATAAAAGAGTTTGCAGGAAAATAAAATCTCTGGAGTGCAGTGTGTTGTATAATAAACCAGGCCTGCATGGTCCCTAGAACACGTCTCACAAGATTCATATAAGCCAAAAAAAAAAAAGCTTTTTATTTTTAACTGCAAAAAAAGGTTAGGTGGTAGGGGAAGAGCTTCTAGAGTTTTTGTAGCCTCTGGCATCAGATACTTTGTGCCATGACTTACAAAACAGAAACCCAAGATTAGTTTTTAAACTCTTACTTAGCAGACATAAGTGTGTGTGTGTGTGTGTATATATGTGTGTGTGTGTGAATATATATATTTTTTAAATAAGTTAGGTATTCGGCAGTTCCTTTTTGGAGTCACTGGCCATGAGTGATCATGGATCCACGTGGCCATTTACTTGAAAGTCTGACTGTGGTCTCCCTTTGGGAGAACAGCAAAACTATGTGTATCCTGCACTATTCATAACTTCACAGTGATTAAATGACAGTCTAGTAAGGATAACTGCAGAAACTAAAGGAGGAGTAGACTAGCGCTGACAGTTTAACCAAGTCATATTGTACATAAACATATATATATTTTTTTTAGCCGTGTTTTTACCTTTTAGCTAAGTTTAATTTCCTTCGTCTCCCTTTTCTTCTTGTTTTTCAGTTACTTTAGATTCAAATATTACCAAGAGTGATGTCTTCATAGGTTTTTTCCGAAAGCTACAGCAGGTAAGTTTTGAATGTTTCAGCCAAATAATTTGTAGCATGGAAGAGATTATTTCTCTTTTTTCTTTTCTTTTCTTTTTTTTTTCCCCCCCCTACCTCCTGAGTTCAAGGCTTCCTTTGCTATCTTCCTTCCTTCTGTTCTTATAGTACCAGTCTTACTTGTAAAGTAGAGAATTCTGTTGACTCTCTATGAAGCCTAGGTGGTAATAATAGTATTGCTGTTTTGTCTATGTGCTAACTTGTTTCCCACATGGAAAGAACGGTTTGCTTTGTTTTTATATCCTGTGGCGTATCTGATGAATCTCTTGCCTCTAAACAGTTCCCAGAAGAGTCTTTGTGAGAGCTCAATGGAAGGATTACACACATTCTTGGATTTTGCAACTGTAAATGCTTTTTGGTTGTGTCAGTACTTTGGGCTGATAAGTATACTGATGACTGCTGTGAAAATGTCAGCTTCTCTTATCTTGTAACTGTAGTGATGGGTACAAGCTGGCATGTATTTGGGTTGTTTCAACCTGGATGACTTTCAAAATCCATTTTAATGTGTTCCATGACTTCTGTGAATTTTCTTTGATAGAGGTGGGGAGCTGCAATAAGAGAACAGGAAGAGAGGGGAAGAGAATAATCACCAAATTTTATGAGCATACATACTCTCTGCACCTACAAGGTTAGGATTATAGTAGCAAACGTAAAACCAGAAAACAGTCATGGCTCCCAAAGGACTTACAGGCGCACCGGCCTGGTTTTGCAGATGGATATAAGGTCTGCCCATGCTATCTAGATGCAGAGTGGCTTCAACCAGACACCTACTGAGTCTATTAGCACAGCATGGAGTTGGAAGTAGTAGTGAGTGCTACCGAGAGCCATGTTATTTATCTTCTGCTCAGTCCTGGGCTAATGGAGCTAGACTTTCTATGGGTCTGCAGCCTGGATAGCCCTCACTTGTGTCCAACTGCTCTGAAATGCGCTTATCTCCCCCTGCTGCTGTTTTGGGTCTTTTGGGGATGATATTGCTCTGGAGCAGGTGGGTGCAATGTGACTCCAGCAGCATTTTCAGGAAGGGGACACTGTTTTAGTCCTCTGGGAAGCAGCTGGCACGCTGTTAGTGCTGTTGTACCCTAGCTTGCGGGGAGTTGTTCCAGAGAGTGGAGAAGTTTTGAGGGACCATGTAACAGTTTTTTGTCTTGATTCTTCTTCACTGCCTATGTACAATTAAGGTGTATAAGGAGAGTTCGGGAAGGCTATAAAAATGGTATGAAGAAACATTCCTGACAAATTATAGAAAGGCTTTCCATATATACATCGTAAATAAAAAGTTACAGTTTGTATACAGTCTCTTTAATTCAGTCCTTAGCGAAGCACTCGAGTCAGTGAACAAAGTCCATTCTGACTAGGGATTTTTTTAGTGGGAACAGCTCTTC